CAAACAACTTGTAAAAGTACATGTAGCATTATATGACCCCTTTAAATGTTTTAGAAACTGGTTATGAGAACATTAAGGGAACATTCCATTTGATTGTTTCTCTGAACATTCTGAAACAAGTAGTCCCAGGTTTAGGTTCTAAAAACGTTGTGGGAATGTTGTTTTGAAATGTTTCTGAAACATTTAAATGTCCAGTTTTCTTGATGTGATTATAACATCATTTAAAAGTTACAAAAACATTTCTTGCAACATTTTACTAACTTTATTTTGACCCAATATATAACAGTGTTTGAATGTTTATATTTAAAATTCTAAGAACGTTAAAATGTCAGTTTTTATTGTTGTGATTATAACATTATTTAAAGGTCACTAAAACGTTACTTACAGCATTCTACTAACCTTTTCACCCAAAATATGATGTTATTTGAATGTTTATTTTTAATATTCTAAGAACATTAAATGTCCATATTTGTTGTTGTGATGAAAATATTATTTAAACGTTACAAAACCTTGTCCTACAATGTTCTAATAACTTTTGACCTCAAATTTAACATTATTTATACATTTATTTTTCAGAATCTAAGACCATTAAAATGTCCAGTTTTCTTGTCATGATTAGAACATTTTTTTAAAGTTACAAAAATGTTTCTTAGAATGTTCAAGTACAAACATCATCATAAGGACATCGCGAGAAAGTTGGTCTCAGAATGTTTTCGCTCAACTTGTATCAAATATTAATAAAGTTATCAGAACATTCTGTAAACATTACTTTAAAAACCTTTTGTCCTCACATTTATGTAACTTTTAAAAAATGTTGGTGAGAGCGTTCCCTGTTAGCCGGGAACATTTAAAAAATGTCAGAGGAATGTCCAACTAAAATGTTTAAGAAAATCGTTCCATAAACATTGTATGAATAATAACATTTGAGAATGTTATTAAAGACCAGAACGAACGTTCTATTAACGTTCCTGGATGAATGTTAGTTCGTAACTTTGAGAAAACCTTACCAAAACGTTAGTCAAATTTCTGAGAACGTTCTCTGTTAGCTGGGTTGTGCTTCTTTAATGTACCGTATGACATGTTAAGGACTTAATTGTGTTTGTTATGGATTAATACATGTATTAGTGTTTTATTTGTACTGTAAACACATCAGTCTGACTGTAAAGTTGCTGTTAGCACCATTTATTTAAACTGTTCACGCGTATTTATATTTCAATATAAATGGAAGGATTGTGTATTCCTTCCAGTGTACAGATTATTTGCTTGTCTGTGTTCTGCCGCTCCGTCTCACGGACCGTATGCAGACTAATTAGTGGACTTGTTGGTATTATCATCTGATAATGTAGCATACTTTAGGTAAACTCATTTTTGATATGTGGTTATTGCTAGTTCACTAGGTAGTGCGCATCGCGGGTCTGTTAGCACACGTACATCTCTGAGATGTCTATTTGACGTCTGCAAGAC